AAGAGAAATGCATACTAAAACGTGAACATGAAAGGTCTCAGTAGTGTTGCTATATTAGCCCCAAAGTGAAAATTATGCCAAATGCCCATCAGTTGTTAACTGGATGAATAAAACATGGGCTGTTTATATAATGGAATATCATTTAGCAACAAAAAGAAAGATTTATCCTTCAAAAATGGATAAGTTTTGAACAAAGACATCGAGTAAAAAGTCCTGATTATAAAAGATGACACATTATATAATTTCATATGAAATGTTCAGAATAGGCAAATCTATAGAGACAGGAAGTAGATGAGCAGTTGCCTATAACATTGATAGAGTGAAAAGAAACAGGGAGTGATAGCTAATGGACTTGGGATTTCTTTTTGTAGTGATAAATATACTCTAAAATTAATAGTGCTGTTTTATTTCACAACTAAGAATATACTAAAAATCACTGAATTGTATACATAATGACTGAATTTTAAGGTATATAAATTATATATTAATGTAGATACATGTATATGTATGTGTAAAAATATACATATATATGTATATTCATGCAAATGTGTCCTTATAAATATGAATAATGTCTAACTCAGAAGTTAACCGCTGTTTTTTTTTCCCTATTGCCACTGGTTTTGTGTTTTCTAGAGAAACCTCTTCCCCACTCTCTTAGCGTAAATATTTGGAGGTTTGAGAATTAAACCAACAAAAGACAGATTAACAGGATAAAAGGCATGCAATTTTTATCAACATTTATACACATGGAAGTTCACAGAAAGAAGTGAAATTCAAATAAGTGGTTACGTTCAACAATTTATATGTTTTTTAACAAAGCAAAGAGAATTTGGGCCTTGAGGAACAATAAATCTTAAGGAATTGACTAGAAAATAGATGGAACTAATGGAAGATAAGGATGTATTTTGTGGGCTGTGTTTATATAAAATCATCTTGCTTCTGGCTCCCATCTTCAATGTGGGTCATTCTTCTTTTCAGGTACTAGGGTGTCTGGAGAGGGACACTTCCTCAAAGGGAAATTCATACCTTGATTTTAGACAGCTGAGCAGAGGGCAGAGAACTCTTCTGAAAAATGTTCATTCTCAGTTGCCTTCAGCTCAATGTAATCCTTATCCCAAAGTGGCACATAATAGGGTAGAATATTCTGGTCCCCTTCATCTTCTAGGTTCCTCAACTATAAGAATGAAGCTTTTATTTCTTTTCTTTTCCTTTTTAATTATTTTATGAAACTTGTCATTAATCATGTTTGTTTTTTAATGTACTTCATAGGAACTAAAATTAAAATGGCAGCTGAATCAGCAGCACCAGGAAGCTCAGTCTTCTAAATTGCATAACCATTGTAGTTAACCTTTAAAATTGAAATTCTGCAGCACAAAAGATTTAAATGCTAAAAGATTCATAAGATGAATCTTAATTTGGAAGTATATTTTGTGCAAGAAACAAATATGATAGAAAATGATTAAAATAATATTTTCAGTGCATTCTCACCTAGCTTCATAGAGCTAGGAAGGTCAGAGTGAATAACTAATAATTTTAGCAAAAACTACCAAGAATTTTTAATGAATGGACCCACCCACTATGAACCAAAGAAATGACAAACTCCAGGACTTCCCACAAAATATTTTTTTCATGAAAGTTATCAAGAAAGTTTTAAAATTTTATTCATAAAGAGGGAGATTCAAATACTTAAAATTAATAAAAATATTTCTATATTCTACATATAGAAAGCTTCAAAACTAATTTCTGTTTGCTAAAAATAATTTAAACAGAAATATGCTTTTTTTAAATATCAAGGTCACAAATTTTTAATGTTATTTTCCAAATTAATTTATAAAGTTAATGTAAGATTTGTATTGTTTTTGTGGTGATGGGGATTGAACTCATGGTCTCATACATACCACACAAGTGTTCTACCACTGAGCTATATTCCCAGCCTTAAAATCAATGTAATTCTAATCAAAATCTCAATATGATTTATTGTTTTTAAAAATCAGGAAAAGGGAATAAATTCTAGAGAAAAATGGACAGAAAAATGTACTTTTAATATTTGAACAGTAAAAGCAATAACAGATGTAGTATATCACATGTTTGAATATATAAAGCTACGAAGACAAATACTGGGCAAACTACTATGACAACAGGGTCAGGAGGAGAAAATGATGAACAAGAGTAAATATGTCCTCTATGTGAGAGTATTCTAGTGAAATATTTTAAAACAGTATATTTGTCATTCTTTTTACGTCCTGAAGTTCCTTTTGAACTGATTGCTATTTTTTTTTTTAACATTTCATTGCTGTGGGTTGAACCCAAGGCCTCATTCATGCTAGGCAATCATTCTGTCACTGAGCTGCATCCCTAGTCCTGATCACATTTTCTGTTTAAATTATTCACCATTACATCCCTGGTCCTGATCATATTTTTAGTTGAAATTATTCACCATCACATCTAAGATAAATGCTTATGGAATTTATTTATGATTTTGTCATAATTACTAGTTTGTTTACAGTAATTCTTAAGGAGTCAAATGGAGCTTGCAGAGGGAATGGAGTCTTCTCACTATACACAGCCCTCTCCCCATGTTCTGATGTGTACCTTCTGATGAAGAGCAACTACTTCTCTAGGAAGCATTTCCTTAGTTAGACACAGATTAGAATAGGCTCTATTAATAATTAAGTATTTTGTGGATAAAAAATTGAGTGCCCCTGACAAAGTAAAATGAAAATCTTTAATAGCTTTTATTCTGTGGATCAGAACTCTCTTATCAACAAATTTAAAACTATTGCTGCCTTTCTGGCCTTCCTCTAAGCCTTAAGTCTGTGTCCATTCCAACCACTTTGGCTTTCCTTGACACACAACATCTTGCGGTCAGCTAGATTTCTCCTTGAAAAGAGAATAAAGATTTTAGAAAACCGGCTTCAGGTCTTGACTATCCATAACCTCATTCCCTTGCCTGTTTGCTATCCCTCTCACCCATCTGGGAAATATACGCATCTGTGTGATTGTGTGCTACCTACAGTGTCTGTGTTGAGCACCCTTGAAGCTCTTTGCTCATCTCCAGAAGAGAAGCAAATGTGGCATTTAACTGAACTGCTTACTTCAGCCTGAGTAAGGGAGATAGTTCTAAAAGCTCTTACTTGACAGAGTTTCATCACTAAATTCTGTAATATGATTTTCCCAAGGTTTAGTATAATGATATTTTCTTTGAGAAATGTATTATGATATAAATTAAAACACCAGATTTGTAGTCAAAACATTGTGGACTTGCTTTTTATTGGTTGCATGTGCCTGAGCAAGACACTTAATCTTCTCTGCTTTTTTTTAAATTTAAAATTATGTATATATTAGCATAGTATATGATCCTCATAGTAATAGTGGTTAAATAAAAGAGATGTTTTGTAATTATTGTCATATTTTGAAGGCTCTATTCCTGTAGACATGAAATTAATATTTTTTTGTATGTGAGGCTGTTTCAAGCCAATATAAAGTGAAAGATATATATTATTTCCGTTTACAGGAACCACAGAGTTTCAAATCAATTCATATGTAATGATTCAGGACCTTAAAAATAGCAATGTCTTTGCAGCCAAGTGTGTAGTCTAGCTAAACAGGTGGTTTTATAATAAAGATAATCTGAAGTTTTTAATAAGCGGTATTAAACATAGACTGCTAACAGTGCACAATTGGTAACTTGTTCCTTTTATAATAGTGCTTTAGTATTCCACTGAAACATGGCTAGTGGATGTGCAATATTCTTAGTTACCATTATGAGGGACTGTGTATATTACAGCTTCTCTACTGTCTCTGCTGTTAGCTGGGAAAATGCTGGGAGCAACAGCAGCTACTATCAACAGGGAGCCATATTAATTATTTGAAATGTGCCTCATAAGAGGAATCAGGAGAGTTTATTACAAGTCGAATATTACTTGAAACGGGAAGGTTACTCTAACTGTTATCATAATCTATGTATCATTAACTTTCCTTGTTTAGGAAAAGAGATTAACAACCCTGTAAATTGCTATAGTAAATGTGAGAAATATAACTGCATATTCCCATGTAGAAAGGAAGTGGTGGATTCTTCACTTCTACCCAAACCGTTTTTTACATAAAGCAGCTTTAGAAAATGAACTGACTATGTAATTATGCTTCCTTGCCTCAAAATCCTAATGGTTTGCTGCATCATCAATATAAACTATAGTTACTTTGAGTATTAGAAAAAAATTGTATTTAAGCTAGCTTTTTTTTCCTAAGACAGGGCCTCACTGTGTTGTCCAGAGTGGTCTTGAAAATGCTAACAGTTTTTTAAATCACCATTTTGAATTCCAAATCAACTAGCACTTAAACTCATAAGACAAAAAGCATATTACACTTAAGTATGTGAGCAGATAGAATGCTTTATTAGAAATAGAGAATAAATCCAGCTATTTGCTTTTTAAATTATGACTCCTTCTTGTTTTTCTATCAAATACAATAAGCAGGTAGGAATGTTTTATCTATTCAAATAATGGAAGAAAATCCTCAAGGTAAAATATAAGTTAATCAGTGCTGTCAAGTGGTCTAAATAAATGTTACTCAAAGTGTCATCTGTATGTTGAGTGCCAGTTTGCAAATTGTTTATTACTTCTCTGCAATGAAATGAGTACAAATATTGAAAGCAGGTTGACAGAGCACTTAATATCTGTTTAATCTAGCAATAAAAAATGGGAACTTGAATTTTTTATGTCTTTGAAGTTTTTCCATTTCATTTTTCTTATAACTCGTTTTTAAAGTATCACTGCATAATACATTTATAATTTAAATAAAAGGAGAGGAAGACTTGTTGAAGCAACAATTTATTTGGGTGATGTTTGGATGATTTATTCTATATTTATGTTTGGGAAGATTTTTCTAAACTCTGAAGTGGATATTAATTCAATGTAGAGCTAGAAAATATGACATCATAAGAACAAAAGGCGTATAAAGACAGAGTTTCTATGTCTTAACATTTCCTTTTGTGTCCACAGGACAAGCACATCATGGACAGGTTTCCTATATCTCTCCACCAATTCACCTTGACTCTGAGCTGGAAAGACCCCCTATTAGAGGTGAGTTCTTCCCTATTTAAAAAAAAAGAAACAATAGTTTCATCAATGATCAACATTCTTTGATGAGGTTCAGTAATTAAAAAAGACAGTTAGTTATAAATATGTATTTTGTACTGCAGTGATTGTTTAAAAAAGCAGGGATTAAAAAAATAAAGTGTGTGAGTAGTCTGGGAACAGAGAGTCTTTCTTATATTTGAAAGTGTGAGCTATTGTTCTGGGGAATACTTGTAAGCCAAAATATAACCAGAATACAGCAGCTTCATAAAACAGGGATCCATAGTTATTCAACTAATGGTGGACAAGTTGAGATCACTAGATAACATTACTTTTTTACAAGAATTTTCTTTTTTTCCATTATCCTATCTTTCATATTATAATATCTTGATCAAAAGCATAATGACACATTTACTTTTAGAAATTGTCATTTTATTGTGATTCCATTTAAAAGTTATTTTATTGTTACTAAAATCACTTAGTTTTAAAATTAAATTATGTATTTTCAAGTTGGTGCCACTTGATGTTTTAGTTAAAGCTTTGTTGAATAGTCATACAAAATGAAAATCCAAAGGTTAGAATTAAATGATTCAAAATACAAGTAGAGACGCCTGGCATGGTGGTGCATGCCTGTAATCCCAGCAACCTGGAATGGTGAAAGGAGGGCCACAAGTTCAAAGCCAGCTTCAGCAATTTAACAATGCCATGTCTCAAAATAAAAAATAAAAAGGTCTGGAGATGTGGCTCATTGGTTAAGTGCCCCTGGCTTCAATCCCCAGTACTAAAGAAAAACACAATTTGAAAATTATTTTTTGTGCTTTTAAAAAAGCACTTATCCGGCTGGGCACAGCATCACATGCTTGTAATCCCAGAGGCTCGGGAGGCTGAGGATGAGGGTCACAAATTCAAAGCTAGCCTCAGCAACTTAATAAGCCCTATTCACTTAGTGAAACTGTCTCAAAATAAAAAGTAAAAGTGGGATGGAGATGTGACTCAGTGGTTAAGTGTCCTGGGTTCAATCCCTGATAAAGAAAGAAAAGAAAGAATGAAGCACTTATCTATGGTTTTCAGAATGTTTCATAAAAAATGTTTCATAAAAAGAGATCAAAGCAGATTTTGTTTGTTTGTTTTCTGCAGTACTGGTATGGAACCCAAGAACACTCTACCTCTGAGCTATGCTCCCAGCCCTATTATTTTTTTGAGACAGGGTCTTACTAAACTGCCCAAGCTGGTCTCCGTCTCGAAAATTCTCCTGCTCTGCCTTCAAAACAGCTGGGATTACAGGTGTGTGCCACTGTGCCTGGCTCAAAAAAACTAATGTTTTTTAAACATGTCCTCAAATTTTATAAATACCAGTTATCCCAAGGTCACTTTTTGGTTTTAGCTAATGCAGCACTTTTTTTTTTTTGAAAGTATCACTTACCTGATTAAAAAAAATTAGATCTGATTATTTTTTAGCATGTTTTATGTCCAGGCTTTTTACCTCTTGTCTAATAAATTTCTGCCAGCTTGTCAAGGCACTACTGTATTATCAGTTCCTCAGAAGGGAGGAGCTCTGTGCCTCTGTCTCTAAATGCCCCTGTGCTTCCCTCCATTATAACTAAGGCATTGTATTTGATAGAGCAGCATGCATGTTTCCTCTCTTATCTGTATGCTCCTGGAGGGCAGAGGGTACCATAATTATTATTTCTCTCCAGCCATTGGTCTATGCTTGACACATATTGGCAACTCATCCAGTGATTTCTGTCCAAATGACTAACAGTCTAGATTTTGAAAAATGCATTTATGTTTTTTTAAGAGAAAAAGGAGGCAGGGATGAAAAAGGAATCCCACAGAAAGGAAACAGAATGAACCAAAACATGGATATATGAAATTGTGTGGTATTTCTAAGGTAGTATGCTGGAGCAATTCTACAGAGAAAAAAAAATGGAATAATGTAATTAAGACTATGAAGGTTTCTGTATTCTTTACTAAGGAGTTTGGAAAAAAAGAACCATGAAGTACTTTTGGGTGTTTCCCCCCAAGTCAATGATGTGTTACATCATAACATTTCAGTTCTTCATATAAAGAAAACATCTCTGATGTTCCTATGAATAGTGATCTGATAAGCGAAGAAATTAGCAGAGGAAGCTTATCCAGCAGTTCAGACAGACGATAATGGGGCAACTAGGAATGTGTTTCTGACCATGAAGTAATTATTGGTAAACATGGAATTGTGTTTTAAAACTATTTTGAGTTTGGCACAGTGGTGCAGCCTTTTAGTCTCAGCTACTCAGGAGGCTGAAGCAGGAGGATTGCAAGTTCAAGGAGAAACTTTGCAAATGAGGCAAGATTGTGTCTCAAAAATAAAAAGGTCTGGGGATGTAGCTCAGTGATAGAGTACCCCTGAGTTCAGTTCCCAGTACCACAAAATAAAGCAACAACAACAACTCTATTTTGAAAATGAATGATGTGTGTGTATATATATGCAGAGTAACACAACATTACCTTCTTTCTTTTCATGTTCTATAATCCATGAATCATTTGGGGTTTATTCTGTATGTCACCATCCCACCTTTTCTCATTTTCACTGTAATTTTTTATGGAAATGTATTATATGCTAGTGCTGCATTTATTTATCATAATGTGTTTCTTTTTGACATTGAGCATTTGAATTATGTCCAGTAATGTCTTACTAACCATAAGGAAAATGTAGTAGCAACTTACACAATACCCTTAAATAAAATGTATTCTCTACAGTTGCAAAGTAGCTGTTGTATATAAATTCAGTGGCACTTACCCACTAATGAGTAAATTTGAGAGATTCTGTTCTTTAAATCTAATGTGATCATACATGGTATTTGGTCACATAATTTATGCTTGTGATAACTTTATGTGCATTCTTCAATTTACAGATTTTATTACTGAATAGAGGTGTAAATTCCAATAGTTTACTAGTGCATTAATGTCACAATACATTACAAGGTAATTAACCAGAGCTGCCACTATAAATAGAAAAATAGTCACAGCCTTCACTATAAACTACTTAATAAAAATAAGGTCCTGAATCAGCATTCACCATTATAGTAATTTTTCTTGACATATGTCCCATTAATCAGGACTTCAAAAAAAATAGCTTCATCTGGAAGTAGTGTTATTTTTTAGCCATTCATTATTAAAACAAGTTTGTTACAATTTTGTACTTATTTTAATGGGAATGGTTATATATTTCACTATGAAAATAAATTCTACATGTCTTTGAGACACATTTCCCACTTTATACAAGTGGAAATGAAGGAAATACTATTTTGGCTATTTTGTGGCAAATTGGTAAATAATTGCATTGTAATTCTTGGCAGGGCTCATTAAGTGTTGGAGTTCTCCAAGTCATGTGTCCCTCCAATTTTTCTTTCTTGCAGCCTTTATTTTGCCTCCTAACTATTCATATGCAAAATATCCTTCTCTAGAATTCTGTCTATATTACAGGCAGAACCACTCAAGAAAAGTGATTGTGTGGGACTTGGTGTAGAAGCTGAATCAGAGTCCTGAGCAGAGGCATACATTTTTGGGGATACAGACATAACCCATCAGACTCCCTTCGGTTGAATGTACCGTTTTTGCTTTTTCATTTGCTTGTGTCATTGTTTTCCTATACAACTTGGGGATGGCCTTGGCTGTCAATCATGGAACCCAACCTAGGAGTTCTTCAAATAGCTAGCAAGTAAAGTTGGATAAATTCATGTGAATTACAAAAAAAGATATTAACTTCTAAAATGTCCTCCATTTATATTACTAAAGATGATATTTTGAATGTTTCGCTATATTGCATTTATTTTGTATAGTCTTTCTTTAGGTAGCATCTCAATAATAAGTCTAATATTGAAATGTACTAGTTTGTACACTTGCTAATTTTGACAGTTACAATCTATACTCTGAGAAAAGAGCTCAAATATTGGCTCATATTTGAGAAAATTGCATCTATTTTTTTCCAGTTTTTTCTATAATAGACTGAGTAATATAAACATGGTTCAATTGGCACATAATCAATGAACTAGAATAATGCCAAGCATTAAGTTTCATGTGCGAATTGAATTAAATTCAGCAAATCCACACACTGAAAATATTTTTTAAAGTTCGAAATAAGCAGATGGTCCTGCCTGGTGCATCTACATTAAAAATAGACTGTAGCCAAGATTTAGCATCACAAATTAGAGATGTTAACACACAGTATCATCTAGTGAAACGTAAAAACATTTCAAATTGATTAAAGTAAAATAGGAATGTGACATCTGGCATTGTTATTCCAGAGTTTCTAGGCCCATTCTCTAATATTCTACAATGGGTGCTTTTCTAACTAATCTGGTTAGTATACACTATCTGGCAGAACATAAATTTCCTAGCTTTACCTATGCTTATCCCAAGAAAATGAAAATGAAGCTATCATATAAAGAATGCTCTGGTCATGGTACTTCAACACGCTTATCCTACACTTGTGAATACCTAACAATTATTTTTTGATAGGAGGGTATCATGTAAAGTATGCTGTGCACATCTCTGAGATACAGAGAGTACAGCTTGCTATTTTAATGACAAACACAGCTTCATTTATTGTGTACCTTTTATCTAACCCTGTAAAAAACAAAATTTACTGCATATTGTCTCATGTAGTCCCAGAAGGATCTTATTTATTTAAACTTAATGATCAATCATGATCATATTTCTAGCATCAATCATAGTATCATAATACTATATAAACACTGATTGAATTTGGGTTGAATTTAATTGAAATTACATTCTAAACATAATATTAAAATATACTCATCGTTCAATATTGTCAGGCCTAACTTTGAAGGTTTTGTAAACCTATAACATACTTTCCAAATGTAAGTTGTTTTAAAATTAACATTAAGAATTTGAAACAAGTTATAGCACTCTTGTTGGCCCCTTGTGGAATATAATTTATATGCTGAGAATATTTATCCCAGAATGTAAAATGATCTGGTAGTTTTTCACTTTAGGATCAGATG